CGGCGCCGGAGGGCACCTCCAGCTGAACTTTGGCTGTGGATGTGGGCGTGGGGACCCCTGAACTGTGGGGGAGGCTGTGTGCAGGGCCGGGCCAGGCCTGTGAGCAGGATGCCGGGGAGCAGCTGTTATCCGAGAAAAACATGTCTCGTCTCCCCCCGTTGCAGGTGGGAGTGGGGCTCTCGGGGTGCTGCTGGAATGAGCATTTGCGGAGGCCCCACGGGAGGGTGAGACAGGGTAGAAAGCTTCATTTGCATGGAATCGCACCCTGGCTTTCCCAGCCCCATCTCCCCGAGTCGGTCAGAGAAGAAGTGTAGGGGCTGCAGTGGAGCTGGAAGCCAAGCCAGTGTCCAGCGTTTCCGTGGAGCCGGGTCCAGTCCAGCATCAGCTCGTTCCAGCCCAGTGTCCATCGTGTGTGGGGTCGGCATGGCCGTGGCCACGCAGGACAATGCCAGGGAGCCCCGCGAGAGCCAGGAGCCACCTGTGCCACGGGAAGCCAAGAGCGTAGGAGAGCGAGCGTCTTTGTTCAGGGCAGTGGTCGGCAAACTGCGGCTCGCGAGCCACAAGCGGCTCTTTGGCCCCTTGAGTGTGGCTCTTCCACAAAATACCGACTTCTGCGCATGGGCCACGATGTTTCAGTCGCACTGTACGTGCGCGCGCACGTGGTATTTTGTGGAAGAGCCACACTCAAGGGGCCACGCCCATTGTGGCCCATCATCTCTGTCCCCAGGAGTGATTGACAGGCAGTGTCTTCCCTGTGTGGTGCCCTCCCCCAGGGTGTGGCAGGGAGCATGCCTGTGACGCCTGGCCTTCCCCTTGCTCCTCTCCTGCTATGAATAACTAGTGAATGACAGCGGTATCACCGCTGCTAGCCTCCAGTTGGGGTCAATACATACACGCGGCTCCCGCGTGCAGGCTCTCCCCGGGGAGTGGCCGCCTCAGCCCTGCGTGCCTGGGAGTCTGTGGCCTTCGCATAAGTGTCTCGCCTGGCGAGGGAGGAAGTCTCCTCCCTAGATGGGTCCCGGGGACGAGACGGATTATCTATCTGTTTATTGTATTTTTCCATGACAGTTGACGTTCTGTATTCTGTTAGTTTCGGGTGCGTGTCATAGTGATTGTGCAGGGGCAGTGGACCCTCCTGCGGAAGGATTGGTTGTGGGGTCGGGAGAGAGGGGTCACGGGTGAGCTCTGGGCTTGGAGCCTGTGAGGTCAGATGAACGTTGAACCACGCATCCTGGGCCCTGCTCTGGGCCTGTGGAGGGTGGGGTGGCTGGAAGCCACCAGGAGGCGCTGTGAGGTGGGCAGAGATCCGTGGGCACAGCCTGGGGACCAGAGAAGCCTCCGAGAGCCGTGGCCGTTGGTGGGGGTGCGAGCCGCTGTGCCCGTGAGAAGAGCAAGGTTTAGGGTGTGGACTGGATGGGCTCCGGTGGCTGGGGATTGGGAGGAGGAGGCTGTGGGTGCAAAAGGAGTGGGAAGTGAGAGGGTGCCCTGCCATGGACGCCAGGCAGGTGCTTCAGAAAGGAGCGCGAGGCCAAGGGGAAGGAAGACAGGCGTCTGTGGGGTTTAGGGGTGTGGCCACGTGTGGCTGCGCTGTAGGGACACGGCTAGGAGCCAGACTGAGCGAGGCGCTGGACGGAGCGAGAAGGGGGCCCCCTCAGGAAACGTGCGTGAAGGGGGCACCAGACAGGGTCATGCCAGGAGGAGAGTGTGGGCGCAACGTCCTCACCTTCCAGTCGCCCCACGGCCAGGCCTGAGGCTGGCATCCACGTAGGAGGGGGCCAGGATGTGGTCATGGCAGTTGGGGGTTCAGAGCTTCTAGGCAGGAGGCAGGACTAGCTAAGCTGATGCTGAGTGCCAGGTGGACGGGGTGGGGAAAGGCCCCCTGGCAAAGGGCACAGCAGCACATAGAAGAACTCGGTAATGTCTGTATTCTGTTAGTTTCGGGTGCGTGTCATAGTGATTATACAGGAGCAGTGGACCCTCCTGCGGAAGGATTGGTTGTGGGGTTGGGAGAGAGGAGTCACAGGTGAGCTCTGGGCTTGGAGACTGTGAGGTCAGATGAACGTTGAACCACGCATCCCGGGCCCTGCTCTGGGCCTGTGGAGGGTGGGGTGGCTGGAAGCCACCAGGAGGCGCTGTGAGGTGGGCAGAGATCCGTGGGCACAGCCTGGGGACCAGAGAAGCCTCCGAGAGCCGTGGCCATCGGTGGGGGTGGGAGCCGCTGTGCCTGTGAGAAGAGGAAGGTTTAGGGTGTGGGCTGGATGGGCTCCAGTGGGTGGGGGTTGGGAGGAGGAGGCTGTGGGTGCAAAAGGAGTGGGAAGTGAGAGGGTGCCCTGCCATGGACGCCAGGCAGGTGCTTCAGAAAGGAGCGCGAGGCCAAGGGGAAGGAAGACAGGCGTCTGTGGGGTTTAGGGGTGTGGCCACGTGTGGCTGCGCTGTAGGGACACGGCTAGGAGCCAGACTGAGCGAGGCGCTGGACGGAGCGAGAAGGGGGCCCCCTCAGGAAACGTGCGTGAAGGGGGCACCAGACAGGGTCATGCCAGGAGGAGAGTGTGGGCGCAACGTCCTCACCTTCCAGTCGCCCCACGGCCAGGCCTGAGGCTGGCATCCACGTAGGAGGGGGCCAGGATGTGGTCATGGCAGTTGGGGGTTCAGAGTTTCTGGGCAGGAGGCAGGACTAGTTAAGCTGATGCTGAGTGCCAGGTGGACGAGGTGGGGAAAGGCCCCCTGGTGAAGGGCACAGCAGCACATAGAAGAACTCGGTAATGCGAGTGTCAAGTTCTCTGCCAGCCCTTCCCCTCCACACCCACTGGGGAGGCGCTCGTGGCCGAATGGATGCGTCGGGGGCGGGACGGGATATGCTGAGAAGTATCCATTCGGGTGGGTGCTGCCGTGTGAAGGTCATGCAGTGGGAACGAGAAGCCGTTGGAGTACATGGTCAGGTATGTAGGTAAGAACGTTCGAGAACGAATCCGAGGTTTGGCCAGTCTGACTTGTTCTTTTTCTCTCCCCCTTTTTCTTTTGCAGTCAACTTTGACCATTTTCAGATCCTGCGGGCCATTGGCAAAGGGAGTTTTGGAAAGGTAAGGAGGATGGTTCTTACAGAATTTCATCTGCAAAGTGCCCAAGTCCCTCCCA